GCCGGCGGTGTGAACCACAAATGTGTCAGTGAGCACCTTAGTGCTTCACCTGAGCGCTACCAGGGCGCCGTGCCTGTGTCTGACCAGTGGCTCAATACGAACCCCTTGGATACCGCCATGACACACACGTGCTTAACCAACTCACTGCTGCTGTGTCCGTTCTGCCGATTGGCAACACTATGGGACCGGGTGGAACTGCCCCTCGTGGGCTTCCCAGAAAGTAAATCTTCACGGGAGCAGAAAGTCTCATCAAAGTGTCTGAAAAGCTGGTAGCTGGCCAACAGGTAACCACGCCGCCACGGCCAGGGCTCCTACATACGTGTGTGTGTCCACATTCCCCCTCATGCCTTTTGATCTTGTCTGGCCCCAGGAGTCTGCCTGGAAGCTGTGTGGGGGTAGAGATACTGTGCGCATGCAATAAACCAACCAACGAAGCACCCGAGCTGGGTGCTATCCAGCCGGCTCACAGAGTCCCATGGGTCAGAGGTAGTCCCAGGTGCCAGGCCTTTCTCTCGAGCCACCTCTGAGTGGGCTCAAACCTCCAAGGTGTTGGTTAGCAGCTGAGCATGTGCCCTGATGTGCCACCCAGGGGCTCCACCAAAACTCTAACCAAACTCACTGCCACGAGTCCAGGCCGACTCAGAGCGACCTGAGACTGTCACTCTTTACAGGAGAAAAAGCTCGCCTTTCTCCACCGGAGCAGCTGGTGGGTTTGAACCACTGACCCTGTGGTTTTAGCAACTCGACTTGAAACCACGACGCCACCAGGGCTCCACAGGTGCTCAACAAACACAGGGTATTTGGCGACTGGGTCCCAAAATAGGGTGGGCTCACCGTGTCCGGGGGCCGCTCCAGCATCCTAGGCCGGAGCAGGTGGCTCCCTGGGGACGTGGCCTCGGGGTCGCCTGCCCCCAGCAAGGAGACCACCCCATTGCAGTCCACGGTGCTGTTCCTCTTGCTGGTGAGGATGTGGCCGGGCTGAGCCTGGGCACTGGGCCGGCGCAGAGGCCAGGGCAGGAGCAGGGAGGCGCGGTGGCTCTCGCTGTCCCCCGCGGTGCTGTTTTCGTCATCGGCAAAGTCTGTCTCGGAGCCTAGGTCACGCCGGCGGAAGGTGAAGATGCTGCCGTGGCTGGAGCATGGCTGCTTCATGGAGGTCCTGCTGAGGCCGTAGCTGATGCTGAACCGGTTCTGGGGGCAAGGGGAAAAGGCACGTGACCACGAGGGGACACCCCACCTGCTCCCAGCCAAGCCTTGTGGGTGACATCCACCCCAGCTCAACCTCTCCGGCATGGAGGGCTTCTGTCTGGGTGGATGAAGTCAGGGAGTGTTTAGAGGATGGAATGCAGGGTTGGAGGCACTTAACATCACCTGGGACCAGACAACCCTCCCCCTGGGGCTTTGAAATGGAGGCTTATTTGCCCCTGAAGGTTAGGCTGAGGGGCAAGGTAGGGGGCAAAGGGCACAGAGGCAGGGAGGCGCCTGGTATGGGCAGGCTATAGCTACGAGGGGGCTTGGCCTGAGTAGGACCTGAGCAGTCAGTTGTGGCCCCCTCACTCATGTGGACATATCCTTGGGTTCCTACCCATCCACATCATGGGGGTGGCCCCCGTCTCCAGCTTCAATGTTGAGGAACTAGATCAAACAGGTAAGGGATAGCGCCCGCACCCGCACCCGCTGCCGCTGCCGGGATTACCATGACTCTGACGCCATCCTCTGAGTCGGACTTGGGGAACCTGTCGTCCCCGCCCTCCTCTGTCCCCGAAGACGCCCGTTTTCTCCACTTGGTCCTTCGCTCCTGCGTGGTGACGGGGGCCAAAGGGGACATCTCCAAGGAGCTGCGGGACACAGTGTCCACACCCCTGATGGTGAGGGCCTGGAAAGGGGTGTGAAAGAAGGGATTTCCAGTTATTGAGACTGGGATACCTCAGGCTGCGTATGTCAGCGCAGGGGTCTCTGAATGGCCCGGATTGGCACCCAGCCCCCAAAAGAGGGCACGGCAGACAGGGGCATCCTGGTAAGCGCAGGATTGTTTGAGAGACTGGCTGAAGTGAGCAGCCCTGGGGGATAGGTGGGAAGAGTATTGGTGGAACTAGAGGGCAGAGGATCTTCCAGAAGGTGCTGCGGACCAAGGAGTAGTGGGGCAATGAGAAGAAAAGTCGACACTCAGAGTTCTGTGATCAGTCTCCAGCATCTTCCGTGGATAGACATGGCTGCACGAGCTTCTTTAACCCAGCTGTCCGGGAGCCACTACCCCTACCAAGCAGAAACCACCTTCCCCTAGAAGACAGCATGGCTCCCAGGAACAAGTGTCCCTACTTAGATCCTAGTCACTCGGCCTACCTGAACCCCTGCAGGTCCCACTGTTCTCCAGGTCCCACTGTTCTCCCTTGGGTGCCTTGTGAACAGGCACTTTCTGTACCCAGCAGGTATGCTTCATTTCCCAACATATATTCCACACTCTTAAAGAAGCCTTCACCTGGCACATCTTATCCAGTCCAATAGATCCCGCCCTGCTGCCACCCACAGACACCGTCCTTACCCAGCGTGCACTGTGTCCACAGGCACTGGCCATACCCAGAGTGCACTGCACCCACCGGGTGAGCGCTTGGGTGGGGCGCACCCGGGCGGCACTGGCCACCCACCTCGTGCTCTTTCTTGAGCATTTCCATGGCCTCCTGGAAGCGTTTCTCCTTCTCTTCGGTCTCGGCGATGGTGGCCTGGTTCTGCTCCTCGTAGGCCATGGCGACCACAGCCAGGATCAGGTTCACCAGGTAGAAGGAGCCCAGGAAAATGACCAGCATGAAGAAGATCATGTAGATCTTCCCGGCCGACCGTAGGGTCTGGAGGGTGGGTGGTGGGAGAGGAAAGCAGCAGGGTCACTCTGGGTCTCTTACGGCCGTGGCACTTCCAAGTCACGCAGCCTGACTGTGCTGGGGCTTTAAGGGCCACCATCTGGGCAGCAGAGGCCATTCTCCCGGCAGGACCCCACCCTGTCACTCCTGTCACAGCTGTACTGGCATGGAGGGTCCTGCTCTCCGGGACAGCCAGGAGGCTCCTTAGAGGCAAGGATGGCCAGTTCATCCGAGGTACTGGGACGCGTTCTCTGGAGAGACCTGTGCCTGGGAAAGCACATTGTGCTGGGGAGAGCAGAGGGGCCAGGCCCAGGAGGAAGACCCGAGAGAAGATGGACACGGGGCTGCGTTGTTGGCGTCCAGCGTAACCATGGCGAGGATGGCACGGGACCGGCCAGGCTTTCCTTCTGCGCTACGTGGGGTGACTGTGAGTCAGAACCGGGATGACCGACTCGGAGAGGGCGGTATCCCGCCTGCAGAGTCCTGTGCGATGGGAGCCTGCCACAGAAAGAGACTGATTCTCCTTCATCAGGAGACTGCAAGTCCTCTTGCTTGCTGGGCTCCCTTCTTCAAACCCAGGGATCCTGCTGGCACTGCTAGGATAGCCGTGGCCCCGCTAGGGACAGGAAAATAGAGCTTTCTCCTACTCCAGCTCCTCTGGCACGGAGAGAGCTGCTGGGCTGCTTCAGAACATGGTGTATGCAGCCCAGGTCAGTGCTGGGTCCCCTACAGGGTGCCCTTCTGCTCGCCCCCCCCCACGCACACATGCATGCACACACGCATGCATTCACACACAATCATGCACCCCCCCCACACACAGACGCACCCACGCACGCATGCATACATGCACACATGTACCCACCCACGCATGCACTTACTCATTCACACGCACACGCACACATGCATGCATACATGCATGCATTCACATGCAATCATGCACCCACCCACACACACACAGATGCACCCACGCACACATACATGCACACATGTACCCACCCATGCATGCACTTACTCATGCACACGCACACGCACACATGCATGCATACACGCATGCATTCACATGCAATCATGCACCCACCCCCACACACACAGATGCACCCACGCACGCACGCATACATGCACACATGTACCCACCCACGCACGCACTTACTCATGCACACACGCACATGCGCTCACTCAGGCACGCACTCATTCACACATGCATTCATGCACCAATGCATGCGTGCATGCACATACTCACGCAAGCACACACACACCTGCTGGTAGAGGCGCTCCCAGCAGTCTTGCGTCATCAGTCGGAAGAGCGCTAGGAAAGCCCACGCAAAGGAGTCGAAGCTGGTATAGCCATGGTCCGGGTTCTGGCCTGCCTTCAGGCACCGGTAGCCCTCAGGACACGTCCTGGTATAGACATGTGCAAGCCATCTCAGGCTGTGGGGAGGCCCCTACCCACCTGACTCAGCTCCCCAGGCAGCCCCACGGAAGCCCACCACCGGGCCCTGCCTTGTGGACTCACTCATGCTGTGTCTCCCCCTTTTACACATGCCTGGGTTATGCTTGCTCCCTTCTGCTCACGTGACACCCGTCACACCACTCCCCCAGGCCCTTCTGTCTCTTCCACTGCCTGTTTGCTCCCCAGGGTGCTAAGGGCTAAGACGGGGCTGTCGTTACTGGCTTAAGGAAGGACTCAGGCATGGGTGTGCTGGGGCCCGGTCACATCTGGAGAGAGTGTCAATTGGCACTACTATCACAACTAAGGTACAGCTGCAGGTCGTGGAAGTGTGTGTGTGTGTGTGTGTGTGTGTGTGTGTGTGTGTGTGACAGAGACAGATTCAGCAAGCACAGGGAAGCAGCCAAGAGGCCTCTGCGCCTGCTATGTTCCTAGGACAGTCCAGCTCATCTCCTTAGCAACAAGGAGAGAGCAGACCTGGGTTCTGGGACTTTACACTCAGAGAGGGGGGATACAACTCTGAAGAGGACCCTCCACCAGGGCAAGTCTGTTCAGGTGGCCCTCCCTGGGTTCCCCATGCCGCAGCTGTGCTGACCCGGACCTTAGAAGCTGCACAGAGCTACTGGGGCATCTCAGAGCACCCTGCCCAGACCCGGCTTGCCCTGGAGGGGAGGCCACATTCACCCTGAAAGACAGACGGGCAGGGAGGGCATGGAGACAGGAATGGGGTGGAGCAGTCTTGGGGTGGGGTGGGGGTGGGGTTCGCTTCTGGAAGGAATGGAGCTAGGAGTGAGCTGGTGAGGGATCCTGCAAGGCCACCTGGTTGTTTCCTCTGCACCCCCCACCCACCCACCGCCCTGTCTAATTTCCAGTGCTCTGCCAGCCTTCTGTCGAGCTACCTCCTTTGAGAGGAAGGAGGATGGGGGTAGGGTAGGGATGGTGGCAGGGCCCTGGCAGGGGAGGCCCCACTGTTCCTGAGTCAGAGGCACAAGCAAGCATGGCGTGGTCAGCGGCAGGATCTCCCCACCCTCCTCACCCCAAGCCCAGCAGCAGGTGGCACATACCCGGCATCGGAGCTGTTCCCGCACAGTAAAACATCAGTGGTCCCATTCTTCAGTAGGTAATTGCCTGCAAGAGAGACAGCTGACGGTGAGGGGTGCTCACGCTCAGACTCCTGGGAGGGGGGCTCCCCTCCTGTGTCCGGGGCTCTGGAAGGCACAGACACTGCTGTGTATGTGGGGGGTGGGGGAACAAGGCAGGGAGGGTCCCCTCTTCTCTGCCCCTGCCCTGCCTCCGACCCCTCCATCTTGCCAAGCCAGAGGCAACCCTGGCTGCTTCCCCTGCCCCCACCTCCCTCGGACTTCCTGCTGCCCGTGTCCCCCCAAGGGCCCGAGGGACACAGGATGTCCTGGGCAGGGCCTCAGCTATCCCCAGGGGAGCTTCTGCCTCAGCTCCCAACCACTTAGAGGGCCTACAGGGCCCAGAACTAGGAGGTGATTCCAGGCAGGTTGCTGCCCAGCTCTGGAGCCCTTCCCCTGGGTAGAAAGTGGCGGAAGCAATGCCTGCCGCTGTCACCATGGCAACACTTTGGCTTGGGGAGGGAGAGAGGAAACTGAGCTGGTCCAGGGGCGACACGGATTCCGACCCTGTCCTCGCCTTGGTGGGAACACTGGTCAGTGCCTGTCTGCCTCCACACCACTGCCTGCCTCCCTCTGGGCAGCAGTTCTCAAAGCGTGACCCCCCAGAGCAGCAGCAGCAGCAGGAGCAGCAGCGTCTGGTCAGCTTCGCTGCTTACCTGTGGTTCAGGCCCTCAGCCTCACAGAGCGCCCCCAGGAGTGCGAGGGGCCAGTGAAGCCGGCGAAACCCAAATCCTCACCCACTGCCATCGGGTTTCCGAGGCTGCAAACCTTTACAGGAGCAGACAGCCTCATCTTTCTCCTGAGGAGCCGGAGAAACAACCTGTGCAGAGAGCAGCCCACTGCTGAGCCAACAGCGCCACCAAGGCTCTGCTGTATGGCAATCTCTGCTGGAGCTATTCTGACTGACAGCGACCAACACTGGGGCAGTGGAGAACTGCCCAGAGGGCGAATCTCTATGAAAGCCCTAACCGACTCTTTGCTTAGCTGTGGCATGCCTACAGCTCCTCCCAGAAGGCCATAGCTAAACCACAAGCAGATCCACTCAACGGGTTTCTACGTTTCTCCTCCCAGAGTCCATTGCTGGTTTATGCAAGAGGATCTAAATGCAGACATGTCTTTCTTGTGGCCCGAAACCTGGCCTGCTGGCTGTGTCCACCTTTGCTCGAGAGACGGCGCCCATCCAGAGAAGTGCTAGCCACCAGGCTCGACCGACCGTAAGGAGAGGGACCCTAGGAGGGGCTCACACCACTCTGCACAATTGCTCAGCTCTGGGGGTACAGGTAGGCAGAAACCAGCATCCTGAGAAGAACACTGGGGTTGACCGGGAACTTGCCCTGCCCAGCAAGCCCAATGTTCGCCCGCAAGTCTCGGCAACCAAGCCAGCCCCAGGTCCCACCTCTCCCTAAGCTCACGGCCTTCTGCAGGACTGCTTCCCCACTATGCCCAACACTCCGGCACCAGTCCTCCCTCCAAACCCAGCCGCTGCTGCCTCTCCATCTAATTCCATCACACTCATTCCTCAAGCCCCGGACCCTAAGTCCGCTCCCCTCTGGCCCACACCTTGGAGCCCCCGAGAGCAGGGTCTGGGACCCCTGGGTACATGACTGGATGTCTGGGGGACTCGGTGGGGCCAGGGCTGTGGAGGCCAGTGCTCTGGAGGGGCTCTCCCACCCTGGTCCTTTCAGGCAGACCCCTGTGGACCACCGAGTGCACGGGCAGTTGGACAAGGAGGGAAGCCACACCTGTATGGTTGAGGTACATGTCCAGCGACGGCCAGACCTGCCCGTCGGCCTCCACGGAGCCGTTGAGCTCTGTGAAGTTCCTCACACACTTGTGCCTCAGGTTGCCCATGAAGAGCTGCAGGCCAATGAGGGCGAAGACGCTGAGGCAAAAGACCGTGAGGACCATCACGTCAGCCAGCTTCTTCACAGACTGGATCAGGGCGCCCACGATGGTCTTCAGGCCTGGGGGAGGGAAGGAGGAGGCGGGGTCACTGCAGGGCACCCGGGTTGATCAGGGGCAGGGGGAAGGAGGTAGCAGCCATGACATACATGGAGGGGGACCAAAAGGAGAGAATTTTTCCCCGCTGGGCTTTTAAAGCCAAAGCCTTTTGGATCCTGTCCTAATCTTGTACTTTCAGACGGGACCTGGGTCCTGTCTACTCTCCTTTCCATAAAGAGGTAGGAAAACGCTGTTCTCTTGAATCCACAGATACGCTGTATCTGTGTCCCTGTGGTGGGCCCAAGGCAGGCCACCTGCCCACTCCTTTAGGTGCAGCCCCTGGGCAAGAGGGGCTTCTGCTTCCACCCATCCCCTGTCAGAGTCCTCCACCCCGCTTTCTGATGGCCCAACGGTGGGGGGGAGGGGGGGAGACCTCGGAGACCCAGGATCTGGGGACAATGCAGGGGCTGCCTTCCGTGTAGGGCAGAGGCTCTGGGAAGGTTTTGGCAAGGCAATGGAGCCTGTATAAAGGGGCCTGTTCTGTCCTCGGGAACTTTCTCCACCTACGAGGGAGGGCTTGGCCCATAATGTATCTTCCCCGCTTGCTCTGTCCCTCTGGGACCCCCCCCTCCCCCAGCCACACCCTCCACTCCCCAGCGCAGAAAGAATGTGATGGGTTAGTCGCCCGGCCCAGCTCCCCTCGGAAGCCAGCAGCACCACACGCAGCGAAGGGACAGAAAAGCACGCTAGACACGCTTGGCCTGGCCTGCGGGCACCAACCACCCTGTGTCCAGTGGCCAGTGCCTGCAGGGCTCCAGGAGCTGGGCTTCCTCCATCAGTAGCTCCCCCTGCAGTCCCACCCTTTCCCCCCTCCCTCCTCCTCCCCACCACCAGAAAGCGGCCAGATCTCAGATTAAGCTCCATCCATCCATCCTCCATCTGGTTAATGTGTTAGGAGCATCCGTGGCTGCTGTGCCCGTGATGCAGAGACAGGGAGGCAGCGCCGGGCAAGCACCCTGACGGGAGAGGGTGTCCTCCCCGCCACGCTGGAACGCTGCCCCCTGTCCAGGCCCAGAGGCACTCAGCGCTCCCATCGAAATCGTCCTGGCAGATGTTGGTAACTGCCTGGCAAGGAGCAGGCCCTGCAGGGACCTGGGCGGGGGTGGTGGTGGTCTGGGAGTCCTCATCCATGGTCCATGGTCTCAGCGGGCACTCGGCCGGCCCTGCTCATGGGCCTGTAGACCTTGGCATGCTTGGCCCCTGTGGACACGGCAAGAACCAAGCGAGGGGTGGGGTGGGGCACAGCTCCCAAGCTGGCCCCAGCCTCAACTGCTAGGTGACACTACCTTTGTCCCAAAGGACACAGCTCACAGCTGAGCGGTGCTCCTCCTGGCCCTGCTTGGGTACAGCGTCCTGGGGAGTCAGGAGGGGTGCACAGACCTGCCCTTGTACCCTTCTCACAGATTTCACTGTCGGCTGACTGATTCTAGCAAAAACCCAGGGTTCTCCCTGAAATAGCCCAAGAAAGGCCCTGGTGGGGCTGGGGAGACCCTCTTAGTCATGGAGGTTCTGGCGGGCAAGGGTGGACATGGCCCAGGGAAAGGAACCCTTCTGACTCCACCCTCTCTTTAAAGAAGGAAGCTGAGATCCAGAGAGGGCTGAGGCTATTTCAGGCTCAGCTTGGGAGACACCTCCCCCAGGAAGTCCTCCAGAACACAGACCATAAGTTCTTTCTAATGGCTGCTCCCTCCGTGGGGCTGGGGCTAGAGGGCTGCTTTCTTCGCCGAGACTGATAATGGTTTTCCTTCCTAAGCCTTTCTTATGAAGAGGTCCAAAGACGTCTTTTCTTGCACACTGCTGGGAGGGTGTGTACCCACTCCCTCTGGTGGCTGGGAGGCTGTCCCCGGGGCTCTGGAGGGCAGGCAGGGAGGCTGATGAACAGGGACCTGTGCTCCAAGGGCTGGTGATGCCTGTCTCAGCGGGTGTAGCTCCGTGGGCTGGTAGGAGGCAGGCTACCCATTTGTTATTGTCTCTTGGAGCAGGGCTGGGCTATTTGGGAGGGTGGATGGTGCTGTAAGGGTCAAAGGCACCCTGGTGGTGAAGTGCTTCACCAAAAGTTTGGTGGTTCAAACCCAGCCAGCCGCTCTGTGGGGAAGATCCTTGGTGCTGTTTCCAGAATGATCCTGGGGTCTAGTTGACTCTACGGGGGAAGCCCTCTACCACAAGGGCTTGTGATGAGTTGGTATCCACTCGTTAGCACCCAGTGACAAGAGGGGGCAAGTGGCTCCTGGGTACATGGCACCGTGGGCTCAGAGGCCAGGATTGGCATTTTGAGACTCCGTTTGGACACTGTAAGTCAGGGCTTCGTGTACCAGATGTAATATTAACCACAGGCAGGCAGAGTGTGCCTTCCACAGGGGAGCTGATGACCAGGCCCCTGCCTCCCGGGTACTGCGGCAGTTAATGCAGACCAAAGGCCTAGGAAGCGACTCCCCAAAGCAGAAGGGGATGCAGCCATCTGCTCGACCTACTTCTTTCTACAAGTTCTAACCCCTCCCCAGAGTGGTGGCACAGCAGCACCTTCTCAGGGTCTGTGGGTGGCAGCAGTTGGAAAAGGCTTCCCGAGGGAGCCCCTGGGCACAGCCCTCCCAGGAGTGGGGAGAGCTTTCTTCTGGGGGCGCAAAGAAGGGTTATGGGCAAAAGCAGCCTCCCGGTGGTGCGCGGGCACCCCGCACCACGTGAGCCCCGGAAGCCCCAGGTGTCTTCGGAGAGCGTGCTAAGGTGGCCGTCTGGACCGAGGCTTCCAGGTGCGATTGCCAACATCTGTCGAGGAGGATTTCTCGCGGAGGCTACCATGCATGGTCTGCTAAACGTCTACACCATGCAGCGAGGGCTGTTAGACGCCAAGGCCCAACGGAGCCTGTCCACAGAATACACAGCAGGCTCACAAAGGAGGGCTGGGGCTCCCGCTGCACACACGCCACCCGAGAGTGTAGGGGAGGCAGGGGCTGGGCACACAGCCATCAGAGAGAGTGCCAGGAGCTGCCCGCCTGCCTTTTGGATCTGTGCATCTGAGGGCTTCCTCAAACACAGCTCTTTGGATGAGGATGCTGCCAGCGGGGGCAGTTCACGCGCGTCCTTAAGCCGCGCCCGCGTGCCCAGTTTGGCAATATCTACCTCTCTGGGGAAGAATTTGGTGCTCAGATTTAACTGCAGCCCCTGCCCTGGGGCTCTCTGAGCTGGCCCTGGGGTGTCTGTGAGGGGGCGGGCGTGTGTGCTCTTGCTGGGGTGGGCGATCGCTGCCCCCCACCCCCCCACCCGGGGTTCTGGGAAGTATTCTGGTGACAGGCACATCCGAAGGAGCCTTCCGGTGGTTGCCTCGGCTCCCAGGGGGGCTGGGAAGGCCGGGCGAGGCCATGCCAGCCTTGGCGTTTAACTTGATTGTCACCTGAGATGACTGATATAGTTTTCAGGGCCCGGAGGACTCGGAAGGTGCGTAAGGCTGAGACATTGCCCAGGTCCACAAATTCAGTTGTGTATCTGTAACAAGGGAGAGCCACACACGAGACAGTGACCACAGGCCAGGAGGAGGCACACAGTCAGAGGAGGGGGCGGGTGGGGGAGGGAGACAGAGAGAGAGTCACTTGTGGCGGAGACCGGAAAGCAGAAGTCTCAGCATCTTACCTGGGATAACGGAAATAGTTTTTAGAGCTCTCAGGACTCTGAAAGTTCGAAGAGCCGACAAATTGCCTAGTTTTATACTTTCTGATACATACCTGCAGAATCAAACCACAGTTATTGGGAATTACAAAGCAGAACCGGAGCCAGGCTTCCCTGGCCAGCCCTCTCCCTGCTCCCTCACCCTCAGGGAGAGCCGTGGGTGGGCCCAGGGCATCCCGGGTTGCCCTCCCATCTCCACCCTCACGCCACAGGGCACTTCGGTTTAGGGGTGCTGCAAGGATGTTACACCACTAGCTCCCAGGCAGCTCCCTGGGGAGCAAACCATGCTCACTGCCGCCAGCCGATCCAGATTGGCTCTCAGAGACCCTGCAGGACAGGCTGGAACTGCCTCTGGGGGTCTTTCCCAGCTGGTTGATTTAGAACTGCTGACCTTGCAGTTAGTGGCCCAACGTGACACTCACTATGCCACCAGGGCTCCTGCCACATTCCCCATGCCACTGGTGACGATGACAATGGGACCCCCAGGCAGGGCCTGGGGCCCGAGGCCCGAGGCGGGTCAGAGAGAGGAGGGAAGCAGCCTCCCGTCAGGGGACGGGGAAGCTTTGCGGGCTCCTCTGTGTCTTCCGTAGCCTGGTCACAGTCCACGTTCTCCAAACGTGGGCCCTGGCTGAGATTCGCCTTGGAATGGTGGGTGGGAGGGGCCAAAGGTCGCTCCTCCGACCCACAGATCTCCGTACCTCAGTGCCTGGCTCCCAGCATGCAATAAGAGGTGCCATGAGCTCCCAAGTCAGAGGAGTGGCACTAGGACAGCAGTTCTCAACCTGTGGGTCTTGACCCCTTTGGGGATCGAACGACTCTTTCCCAGGGGTCACCTGAGTCGTAACAGTAACAAAATGACAGTGATGAAGTAGCATCGAAAATAATTTCACGGTTGGGGGCTCCACCACAGCATGAGGAACTGTATTAAAGGATCGTGGCATGAGGAAGGTTGAGAACCACTGCGCTGGGAGAAGGGGGGCTGCCAGAACTCCTCACAGCCAACGGGCAACACAAAATGAGGAAAGAGAACAGGTGACACCTGGTTCTCCCTGGGGAATCTCCCTCTCCCCCGTCTCACCCCATATCACACAGGGATGGCCTTGCCTCTGTCTCCAGGTGCCCTCCTCGGGGTCTGCCTTGCCTGGGCCCCAGAAACGCCCTGCAGGGTTGAATGGCGTGGGGGCCACCCTCAGAGTCTGGCCAGCCGTGTCCGCCAGTGCCTCCATGGGCACTGAGCAAGGGCCTTTCCAAGCTGGGTGCAGGGACACGCAGCAGAAGGGCACATGGCCACGAGGTGTCTGAGGCACGGATGGACAGTGCGTGGCCAAGGCCCCTGGGACAGAAACGGTGGACCTGTGATATTTAACCAAGGCCTTCGGCTCCGGGGTGTCTGACATTTAGCCGAAGGTGTGAGGTGTTTAGCAAAGGACCTTGGACTCAGGATGTCTGATGTTTAGCCTTGTGTCTGACCCGGGTGTCTGAGTGACATCAGGCCCAGGGCGGTGGCCCTGCGAGGCCGGTGAGGGCTGACAGTGTGAGAGCCTCAGTATGCTGGCCAGTCTGGACCTTTGGGGGATGCCCGAGGTCACCTTCGAGCAGTGAGGGGTAAGCCGTTCCAGAGGACAATGTCCTGGGGTCAGCCTTGGTCCAGTTCTCACGGAGGCTGGGCTGAAACCACCTTCCCTGACACCTGCTCCGGGGGCCCCTGCATTGCCACGAGGTTCGGGGGACTGCTGTTGCTGTCTCCTTGTCCACTGAAGCCCTTCAGAGAGGAGACTTGGCTGAGCAGACCTTCCTTCCTCTGGTGACACCAGACCCCTTCTGTGGTGTGGCTTCCATCCCGTCCCCTGGGACTCACTTCCGATTGCCTGTCTCCCTCCAGGGCCAAAGTCAGATCTTCCAGGGAGGACCAGAAATCACCTCCTTTCTTCTGGCCCATAGGTACCTCTTCATCTGATCCAAGTTCCCACTCAGCTCCTCAGGGCTGTCCTACACTCTGCGACGGTCCAGCCCCTCATGCCCATCTCCATGTCTTCACCCAGGCTTGGGGACTCCATGCAGACACCAACCTGCCACGCCGAGCCTGGGGCAGGGTTAGGTCTTGCCATCCCACGGAGTTTGGCTGCAGCCGGCCGGAGGCTCCAGGTTCCCTGACTGGCCGGGATATCAGCTCTGGCTTGCTCCAGACAGACACTGGTTCAGGGGAGCTGGCAGAGCAGCGGGCACACCGAAGAGGGGAGCAGCTGTCCTGGTGTCTCCCCAGCTGTCTGTCCCTCACAGTCTCCGGGAATCTCCCCTTAGACTCTGCCTGTCCTCGGTCTGCCCGCTTGTCGAAACTGCCCCACGGTGGTGTCCTCTGTGTACACAGCGCTGGCCCCCTGCTCATGGCCGCCTCTTCAGCTGGTGCTGAGCACGGAGAAGGTGGGATCCCAAGGGGACAAGATCCGGTGACAGAATCGGGCCGGAAGATCGTGGTGCTGCCCACACAGGCTTGCAAGGCTGGCTGAAGGGCAAGAGCAGGAGGGGGCTGGTGGTTCTGGGGGCATGCTGGGCGTGGGCGGGGGCCCTAGGAGGGGTCTGGAGAGAGTGAAGGGCTGCATCCCTACTCCACTCTGAGCCTGGCCCCTGCTCTTCCCAAGCCAGACCCCACTCTGGCCTCCTGTTAGGTCCCCGACGGTGACTAGGCGGGAGGGAGCCTGCATCGGGCAGGAAGCTGGGGTGGGACCTCCAGTCCTGACATCGGAGAAGAGAGCAGTAGACCAGTCTTCCACCTCCTCACACCAGCTCCAGTGCGGGGGTGTGGGTGGGTTGTGGGGAGCCTTTGGGAGGCCAAGCAGGGGTCCCGAGGAAGAGCAGACCGAGCCTTCGTCCTGCCCCACTCCTGTCCAGCGGTGCCGTCGTGGCAGCCCCCTTGCCTTTTCTGGTGCTCCGGGGCCCTCTCACCCCAAGCTTGCTGTCCTGCCAGGCTCCCAGGCTGCTAGGTAACTGCCATCAGCTACGGAGCTAGCAATGGCCATGACAGCCTCCCTCCTCTCTGTCCTCCCTCCCTTCCCGGCCAGGTTTGGTTTCCATAACAACCCCAGAAGGTGGGAGGCTGTGCTAACTAGCAGGTGCCCAGCTGGGAGGGGGAACCGGAAAAGCTGTGGCTGGAGAGTAGACAGCTGAGCTCGGGTGTGGGGTGTGGGGTGTTCCCTGCACCTCCTAGGTCCCTCTCCCACCCATCCCCACCACTGCTATGGAGTAGATTTGCACAGCCAGCCTACAGGACAAAGCAGAACTGCCCTACCTGCCGGTGGCCGAGGCTGTAAACCTGCATGGGAGCAGAAAGTTTCAACTTTCTCCTGAGGTGCAGCTGGTGGGTTTGAACTGCCGACCTTGCAGCAAGCATCCTGACACCTAACCCACTACATTCCAAGGGCCCCCACACCCCCTTTACTGGGTGGGATGGGGGTCAGCTTGGGGGCGTCTCTCCTGTCCATCCCGTGATTGGGCGTTAGGAGGCCGTTCCAGCCCCAGCTTAGCAGCTGATTGGTTCTACAATTTGGGGCAAGTGGGAAAGGCTCTCTCTGAGCCTCAGTTTTCTGCCTGTAAAATGGAGAGCAGACGGGGAGGGTGGATTAAATGAAAGTTTCTGAGCTACAGACTTTGTTCAAGGTCTCAGCCGTTCACAGCAGAACACGGTTCAGAGGCTGTCCTGACTTGGTTTCCTCCATCCAAGGCAGAGACCGCTCTCAACCCAGACTCCAAGTGGGTCCAGACAGGGGCAGACAGCCCGAGGTACCGATGGGCACTACTGACACCATGTCTGGGAAGCTCACGGGCCACAGGCTTGAAGAGGAAGCTCCTCTGTGATTCTGTCGGG